AGAGTATCTGGGCTTCCATTTGTTCAACTTGATTGGGTTTGGGCTTTTTGGATCCTTCTATTGCTCACTCGTTAAGGGAGGAATTTGAAATCCAAATTCCAATGGATTTCAGGGGGGTCAGTTCGTTTCTTCTCCACCCAGGAGATTAGTGTTTGCCCCAACTGGAGCATCTCAACGTAAGATTTCCGATTATCTGCCCTCACTTCGATACAGAGGCATTGTTTGCAATGTGAACAACAAATAACCATCGTCAATCCTGGAGGTAAAGCCAAGTTGCAATGGAGGTCAACCGAAGGGTTCGACTTTGGGGGGTTAGCTCTTTTCTTAGGGTAGATTAAATGAACACCTGCTAACTCAAACAAATATTTCATCAGTCGCCACCAACCTCCAGCTTGGAATCCATCTAGGATAAAGATTCGCTTATAAACTTTGCCCTTCTGTTCAAACGGGACTAGAAAGCGACTATTCTAGTTCCAACATAAGGTTCGGTAAATGATGCGCGTGCGGCCAACAAATTTCTTTCCCCAAATAGTGCCCCTTTTATACCAGTAAAAGTCACTTAGAGAGACAACGAGCCACTTAACTTCTGCTTTGTCAAGTGAGATCGAAGTGCTAAAACCATGTCCATTTTCACATATTCTTAAGTCGTCAAGATGCCTTCCATTCCTAACGACGTCTAAGGATTTTCTGTTAATCTTGAAAAAATTTTGTTGTGATCCTTCGACATTGTGGTTCTTGAGCCAATCGACTATAGAAGTTCCTTTGGTTTAGCAAGTGAAAGAAAGGAGGGGGAAAGGTGATTGGGAAAAAGGAAGTGAACTTGTAGAGTTGAGAGTTTCAAGACGAGGGAGAGCAGAGAGAGAGCAGTGCAAGAACAAGTAAAATTAAAATAAGAAATTTCTTCCACATGTTGTTAATAGCACTTACTATTACAGATAACTTATAATTTCACTTATTAGAGCATTTAATTATTCAATAATATTTTTGAAAGTTTCTCAATTTTTTGGTTTTGAGATTCAATTGAACCCTTAAATTTGATGTTTATAACTTCTTATATGTGATGTCTAAAAAATCTTAGGCATGATGTCTAGGTTTTTGTTCTCAAATCCCTAATTGGACAAATCAACTACATTTGTCCTACATCACAATATTTATTTTGCTTTTGCCACAGAAAGTTAGTATAATTAAGCTCCATAAACCAACAATAGTTTTGGTACGAAAAACCATGTATTGCAATTGATAACAATCATTTTAACCTTAAATGAAACTTAAAATCTCTGAAGCTTCTAAGTCAGGAAAACCATAACCATCTAGATTTCCAATGCTAAACTCATAAAAGCCCAAGGATGGGTAAGAGTTGATAACTTGCCATCTGAAATTATTACACTTACAATAAGCATTTTCTCTCTGCAATACAGGTATAGCAAGGAAATCAATTTGAAAGTTCAGAGGTTACCTTGTATGAGGCTACGGCCTGCACGCTGCATAGATTGGGATGGCTCCACTAAGTTTATTTTCTGCACAGACTGAGGCCAAACTTCTCGCAGTGCCCTATAACGTGCATTTAGATTAGAAAATTATTCACCACAATCAAATAAATTAGATATTAGAAGGTATCTCTCACCAGAAAGCAGAACCAGTACCAGCACCAAAATCCAACACATTTGCAGGAGAGAAATCTGGTAGCCTTCTACGAATCTAAGAAAAGCCAAAAAGCAGAAAACATATTTCCAAGATCACGGACAGATAACTGAAACGTCCAAGGCAAGTACCAATATGCTACTAGATAAAGGCTAATTTGCCTATTTAAAAAATTTGGGGTGATCTAAAATAACATGTCTAGAGCTTATAAGATATTATTCCTAAGAATTCTCAAGCTTCATACTTAAGAATTGAAACCCACAACCAAAATCGCGAGAAATTTTCACGCTTTTACTAAGTGGAGTTAGTAAAAGTGATTTCCAAAATAGTTTAAGTGCTTCAGTTTGGAATATAAACCTAACTATAATTACTGCGTTCGAATAGGAAACGTAAAGGTATTTGAACATAAATAAAATCCTATCAATTCTAAAACTAAACTAACATAAAGAATGATACTACTCTAATTTTTTCAAGGTTCTCTATGCTACTTAAGGAACTTTGTCTAAATGAACACGCTCCATGTTCCTCTCTCGAAATGAGCACAGTGATCTCTGCCTGTTCCATTCCAATTTCTGTTTTGCCATAATATGAAGCTACGTTTACTACCCCATGTGGGAAAAACTCAACCCTGTTGAGTTGATGGCATAGATTTTCTTGTGAAGACCAGGAACTCGGTGCATGCTACGATAGGAACTTTTTCTGAATGAACGAACACATGTCCTGCTCCTCCCTTGAAATGAGCATAGCCATATCTGCTTGTCCCTTCCAATTTCTTGTTTGCCATAATATGAAGCTACTTTTTCTATTCTCTAGCATGTTCTTTAGATTTATGCACTCATTTCCGAGCATACTTCTTCCCATTCCCTACATAACCCTTCATATCAGTTGTATTCATTGGTTGTAAAACAATATTTCTTTTTCCAAAAGAAAAGGAGTAGGTATTTCCTTTCCATTATGATGTGCATTCCCATCCAGAGGGAACCAAGAAGAATATGGTTCATTTTTATAGCAACATCATATTGGATACATACACAAAACAGAAACCACATTGAAAAAAAAGGCACTGCTGCAGTACCAAAATAGTTGTGTCATCTACTCATGCTCCATTCCATCATCGTTTATGTGGTTGAGTTGCGAGATTGAAAGTTTCCATTTTTGAAGTTGAAACCAAATATAAACAACACACTTATTGTTAACAACAAGCTTTTTAAGCTTGATTTCCACAATGAACAATAGTCACAAACATGTTAATTGAGAAACACTGTAAACACTCGTATAATCTCACTTTTGAGAGAACTAATTCAGTGAAAATTTTCTTTAAGAATTTTCTCAATCCTTTTGTTGTCTGATGCAATTATAGCTTTAAGGTTTATGCTTAAGAATGCTGAGGTCAGATATCTAGATTTTTTAGGCAAATCAGTTTCTAGTTTGTCCAACATCATATTAAATATTTATTCTGCATTAATTCAGAATGTTAGTTTAACCATAATTAAGGAACTCTAATTGGAAACTTAATTTAAAAGGAACTTAAAACATAAACAAAATCTTCACAAAGAAAAAATAAAATTTTTCTCCACTACTACTCTAATACTGTCAATATTCTCTTTCACTAGAGGAAAGCCATTTATCCTTCCAGAGAAAAATACAAAGGTCCAACAAAACATAATAACTAAAACTTCGATGAACATTAGAAAAGCACAGAATAAAACCATTCCCCTCAGGTAAGTCAGAAAGCATGTAACTTTCTAGAGCACATCCTGATTCTTATACGACTACATCGAGAATTTGCATGATATGCATCCATGAAAAACTAACATTTTCCCATAAAGCTCGTGATCCTAGTTGATGAACCATATATGGTCCGGCCATCTACAGCAAACCATAATAGCCAAATGAATATGATAACTAAAACACAATCTCCATAAATGAAAGCTAAAAATATAAGAACCCAGCAGCATGAAATAGGTAAACTACAAAAAATACCATGTAAAATTTTATAACTTCAGGTACCTCGCTAAAAATTCTATGGCAGGCAGAGTAGACAGCAGGCATACGGGAAGCAACATAAGCAATGGCCTCATCGTCTCTGTACTTGAGACCGATGTCCCCATAAGAACTCTTGATTTTCCATCTCTGAGACCGCTCCATGGACTTCAATGGATCCTCAATGAGCCCCTTCGATGTGGACTCGAGTAGCTGAAGATTAACACTCTTGATTTCGCTGAAGGATTCTGACAAGTGCAGTACTTTCCTCTTCATATGCGGCTCCTCTTGCTCTGTCGAGGGAAACAAGGAGAAGGAACAAAATCAGAGGATGCATTAAAGATATGTCCACAACACATGTACATATAGATTCCGCATGTAAATATGATGAGCAAGAGAGAGACCCTGGAGATACTTCTTGATTGCGCGGCGAAGGCGGACGGGGACGACGAGACATCGTTCGGATTGCTTGGCGGCAGAGCGGAGAGTTTCAGCAGTGAAGATTTTTGAGGCTGTTTGCATTTTTCCGTTAGGAAGTGAAAGAGATCCTACTCCGGCGAAAGGGTTTTTCAGGGGCTTTTGACAAAATCACTTGACATTTTAAAAAATATATTTATATACATATATCTAAATTTATTAAAATAATAAATAATTATATAAAAATCTTTAACAGAGAAAATGGACAAAATTAATTTCTAATATTAGGTAAATAATTAATATTAATGTTAAAAAACAATTTGTTGGTAATATATTTTATACTGAAAATTAAGTAAAATATATATCTATTATCTAGGTACTTACATAAATATTTAATAAATTTAAATATAACTTATTTAATAATTTATTTAATATAATAATTGTAAAAAATATATTAAGAAATAAAAAATATTATATATAAGTTTAAAATAATTAATAAGAAATCCAATCTCATTCCTCAATATATTTCTTAGTCAAATAACTAATTTGAGGGCATTCAATGTCTATTGATTGGCACATTTCTTCTTTGTCTTCTTCTTCTTTTTTATGTCTGTTGGTTGGCACATTATAACTGTAATCTAATTTGCTATTCTAATCCACTGCAACCATGATGAAGGCCGAGGATGGACTGGTCACACTCACAATTGCTAACGAGGAAAAGGGAGGATGGGATGTTACAGATGCGACATCGAAAGAGCAAGAATCCTATGTGTTTTGTCTAGTCGGCCGGTTCTTGATGGAAGCAGTCGTCAAGTTTGAGCCCATGAGGAACACCCTTACAAATTTATGGCATCCTTTAGGTGGTGTCAACATCAAGGAACTGAGGATGATAAGTATCTCTTTCGATTCTTTTACGAGGTTGATATCCAGAGAATCATTGACGGGGGACCGTGGACATTCAACAAATACATGCTTGTGACCCATCGTCTATGGTACGAAAAAAGGTCCTAGGAAGGTCGAGATTTATACGAGTGTGTTTTGAGTGCAAGTACAATCCCTCCCGATGGATTGGTCTCGAAAGGAAGGGAGCAATAACTTTGAGAGTTTTTAGGAGGTT